GAGCAAGTTACCTCAGATACGTTCTTACAAAACTTGGCAAAAAGCAGGGAAAGAGGGAGTCACTATATAAAAGAGAAGGCATATACCATGAGGGCCATTTTGATAGGGTTGCAGTCAGTGATCTCTGGTGTCAGCTTATATAAGCTCACGAGACCTGATTGTTAACTTAAGAATTTTGCAAATTTATGTAAATTTACAATTAAATAAATGACTAAAAAAAGAGATAATGCTCAAAATTTATCACTTCCTAATTATTTTACTACATTTTATTACTATCTATGCTCTCCAGATTATTTATATATATTGTTTCTTTATGGTAGAAATACCAGATAACAGTGAACTATTGCACATCCCTTTCCAACTCTGCATTCAGTGACTTCATGTCGGCACTTTGAAATGAGCCACATAGGGAGTATTTACACTATGGAAATTGGCAAGTATTACAAATAGGAGCACAATCCATTATCACAGAGCTAGTTATTAAATCTTTAGCACATCACTAGTTGCAGGAAGAAATTTTAGATTTCAAGACACTATGTCCTACAGCAAAGGAGAAAGAATTGGCTCTGTATCCTATGAACTTTGAATGATAACATGAAAGGAAAAGGCCTTGAGAATTTATGAATGGGGAAAAAATATTCAGTGGGTAGGACAAAAAATTCAGACATGGGTATGGTGTAGGACTCCAACTCTTTCCGCTAACACAGACCTTGCATTCCAACTTCTTTTGGAATGAGAACTTCTCATTACCTTTGGTAAACACTACCCTTCACTACAATTCCCAGCTCTGAAGGATATTAGTCCCTAGATGGGTCATACAGTACAGTCTTTACTCTTGCTGACCCTGTGGAGTAACACAGAGAGTAAAGACAGCTGGCCCAGATGGAAAGCAATTTTATGAGATCATTAGTCCAGAGAATATCATAGTCCTTTAAGCTTCACCTTTACTGAAGTGTAAGATTATTATGGGCAGAGGATGAACCCTGCCTGAAAATTTCTTTAGGTTAACCACACGTCTTGCACAGAGTAGATGCTCCCTAAATATTGTATGTAGGTATCATATTAAATTGAATTGAGCTGAGCTACCCGACATAGAATTAAAGCCTATGTCCAGTACTTTACACTAAAAATGATTTAAGGACCATAGAGATAATGTACTTTGAATAAATGCTTATGAAAAAATGTAATTTGATGGTCTCTAATGTATTTATGAGCATATTATCTAGAAATTTTATGTATGAAGTGAGTCCCAGAGGCATATATCTATCTATACCTAAAATATGATTTTATTAATTAATTTTCTGGAAAACAATTAAATGAGAAAGTTCCAACTAAAAATTAAGAACACAGATCTTCCCAAATGTGAAGAATACAATTCTTCCCAAATCCTTTCTCTTCTTATGTGCATTTTGAGTATTTTTATCTTTTTTTTTTTTAAAGATTTTATTTTTTCCTTTTTCTCCCCAAAGCCCCCCGTACATAGTTGTGTATTCTTCGTTGTGGGTTCTTCTAGTTGTGGCATGTGGGACGCTGCCTCAGCGTGGTCTGATGAGCAGTGCCATGTCCGCGCCCAGGATTCGAACCAACGAAACACTGGGCCGCCTGCAGCGGAGCGCGCGAACTTAACCACTCGGCCACGGGGCCAGCCCCGAGTATTTTTATCTTTTGACCCCAAATGCTAGGGAAGTGCCCAGTTAACGCTGTTTGACTTCTGCTTTTGAGGACACCTTTTATTGTTTTTTTGACTCAAGGGAATATTAAAATTTGAAGTGCTTTCCTCATTCAGAGGGAGTATGGAGGGAACCAAAATATTTGTTGAAGTGTTTCACTTTTTCTGCTAATTTCTCAATGAGTACTTGAATCCAGTATCTTGTAAGTATATATGCTTATAATTCTAATATTTCAATTTTCTTTGTACAGGGTGAAGTTTCTGATATAGTCCTGGGAAATGGCTTCCATGGTCAAGACTCCAATATGCAATTCCGTCAATTTTGCAATCTCTACTGATTATAATTCAGTGCTAAGTTTTGAGCTTGGCAATTCACAAGAACCCTGAACTTGGCATTTGATTTAATTTAATTCAACATTTAATGATTGTTAAACGCGTCCTGCACACTTACAATGGTTCTTTAACCAAGTCATGACCTCTAATCTTTCATGTCTTCATATTTTCATTATCTATCATTCCCATTTTATCTTCATTTTCCCTCATGACCAGCTTAGAATCCATGTTGCAATCTATTGTACTATTACAATCATTACAATTAACTATTACAATCATTACTTTGAAAACATCCAGGATTCTGTTCCCCTTTCTGCTTCCATCATCCTTGCAAAAACAACTCGACCATCCACCATTTCTATGATTACATCAGAGCAGCTGGAGAGAGTCATGCAACTGGGTAGAAAAGCATATTAGTTTTCTAAGACTACTGTAACAAATCACCACAAATTTGTTGGCTTAAAACAACAGAAAATTATTCCCTCCCAGTTTCAGAGGCCAGAAGTCTGAATCATTTTCACTGGACTGAAATTAAGGTAGTGTTAGGGCCATTCTTCCAGAGGCTGTTGTGGATATAGTGTGACTCTTCCAGCTTCTGGTGACTACTGGCATTACTTAATGTGCATCCACATCACTTCAATTTCTGCCTCCGTGGTCACATCATTTCCTCCTCTTCTGTGTGTATAATATTCCTCTGCTTCACTCTTATGCCATCATAAAGACACGTGGGATGGCATTTAGAGTCTACCTGAATGGCCTAGGATTATTTCCTCATATCAAGATCCTTAATTTAATCACATTCTGTAAAAACTTTACCATGTAAATTAACATTCACAGGTCAGAATTTAGGATCTGATAACTTTTGGCGACCATTTACCAACCTACCACAAATAGTTTCATTTTAAATTCATGATCTCAAAATTCAGTTAGGTTCTCAACACTGCCTAGCAATTTTACTGTATCTACTGACTCTCTAAGATGACTGTATATCTGTTCTCTCTCAAATCTTTCATATTATCCCTTCCAAACTTCTCTGTCAGCTAAAGACTATGAGCCCACAGATGTTTTCATTTCCTATCTCTTCAACCTCATTCCATGCCAATTGTTCCATTGTTCATTATGCCCCATTATGCCCCACTATGCCCCAGCCACACTTCTTTCAACACGTATAGCTCTTTCTTAATTCAGACCATTTTATACATACCATTTCCTCTCTCATATGCTGCCTTCTACTGCTATTCCTCCTTCACACCAAAACCAAGACTCTCCTTGCTTAACCGTCTGGTACAACAAAATATCACGTTACATTGTTCTTTCCAGAAACACTATCTTGTTTCCTGTTTCTCTATCTATCTTCACACTTCTCCCACTATCTACACACTTTGTCTATCTAATGTAACTGAAGATCGTGATTTTTTATTCACTATTATACATCTAGTATTTAGTCCAATATCTGGAACTTAAAAGGCATTCAGTTATTTCCTAAATGAACTAATTGCTGCAACACAGATGATAAAACTTCACAATTTTATGTTAGAATAGCTTCATAGCTGGGAGTGTGAACTTGGGTGTCAGAGATTCTTGTATTTGAATCCTAGCTTCCTCATGCTTTAACTGGAAAACTTGGGCAAATTAAATAATATCCTGACATTCTGCCTATCATTAATTAAAACACTGAGAGTGTTGGGCCTGGCCCAGTGGCATGGTGGTCAAGTTCACGTGCTCTGCTTTGGCGGCCTGGAGTTTGCCAGTTCAGATCCCAGATGCAGACCTACATAGTGCTCATCAAGCCTTGCTGTCGCGGCATCCCACATACAAAAAATAGAGGAGGATTGGCACAGACGTTAGCTCAGCGACAATCTTCCTCAGGCAAAAAGAGGAGGATTGTCAATAGATGTTAGCTCAGAGCCAATCTTCCTCATCAAAAACAAAAAAGAAAAACAAAACAACCTGAGAGTGTCATGTCATGACCATCTCTCTCCAACTCTGTGCCTATAGACCATATTAGACTTCAGTTTCTTCAATTTTAAAATGGTCGGTTTGGATTCAGTGATCTCTAACACTCAAATCATATCTAACATTCTACAATTCTCTTTTTGTGTGAGATTCTAAATGGGAAAAATCAATAGGACAGACAGAAGAAAATTTCTTAAAATTTCTGAGAAAATAACATAACTATGCTGAATATTTATGACTTTAAACTTTTCAATATTTGTTTATAAGTGAAATACAGTACATGAAAATGTTGGTCATCACAACATCTATCTTTCCAGATTTTACTCTGCTTGATTGAGGAGTTGACAAGCCGCATTATTTGCCAATCATTTTTCATCCTCAATATGTGACAGATTTGAAAGCTCTGACAAAGAACTAATTTCAGTTCAGCTTGGGTTATTCTTTGCAACTTTCATAGAACTAGATGGATGTGCCCTATGTGAAACAGATGATGGTTTTGGACAACCCATCTGTGAGATGGATAGCTAAGAAACAGTACGAGTTCACTCAGGGAATTTTTATTTTATATAATGTTGGGATACGGAGAAAAAGAATTAACCTCTTTGGTACAATAAGACAACATCATTTCTAGAAGCCACTAGTTACTAGTCAGGAAAATATTTAAAAAAATAATTTCAAGTCATCTTTTAGGTAAGAATTGAAGGCAAGCACATATGGATAATAGACCTTGATATCAGAACAATAAGGGATATTTTGGATATTCATGCATTGAGTAATGCCGAGGAAAGAATGAACTTGGAATCAGGATTATCTGGATTCTAGTTCTGGCACTGCCACAAGCTTGCTTCATAACAATATATCATACGAAAGTATATGATGCCAGAGGATTTTCTCATGCACTAAGACGTATTGACTCAAACATTTCCTGTCAAATCCTGACAATATTTGTATCAGTTAAAATAGTCTAATACAAGTAACAGAAGTCTCAAATCAAACTCGCTTAAACAGTAAGAATACTTGTAATTTTATACAATACCAAGTGTAGGGATTGGGCATTTGATGGGTGGTTGATTCAATGAATCAACTGTGTCATCAAGGATCCAGGTTCTTTCCACCCGTGAAGTCTCACTCCCTCTTAGTTACGTGATGGCTGCAGCAGTTTCAAAAATAACGTCTTCACACAATGCTCAAGGACCAAAAGAGACTTTGTTATGTCCTTAAAAAATAAAAGAATTGAAAACATTTCTTTTTATTGAAGTTTCATAGGTATATATAACAGAAAGAGAGGGGAGGTGTGTATGTGTGTACACAGAAATGTTGGAATATGGTGTATTTGATGCCTTAGAACAGTTTTTTGGTCAGACTAATGAGTATAATGAGATTGGTTGGTTACTCCTGATTGTGCTGGACAAAGTAGGGAAAGCAAAGAAAAAGCTTGGGATTCAAATACTCAGCTCAAGCACCTCTTAAATGACCTGAAAGTTTTTATGGCTGCCCTGAAAGATACCCTTATCTCCTATAGCTGCAGAGCTGAGATTATTGAAAATCAAACCCAGAGCTTCATCCTAAGAGTGGTTAAAGTATAATTCAAATTGTATTCCCAAACTTACAGAATTCTGCTGCTAAATTAAGGGCATTGATTGAGATAGAAGGGAATTCTCAAAATGGGAATGGGGACATATGGTAAGTTTCTGATGAAATCAGAAACATTAAACCCCTAAATTCTGATGAGTCATCTTTTCCAGTAGAAGCTGTCATTGCATCCCTGTCTAAGAAGATTAACTCTGCTTTACCTGAGAAAACTATAATGGCCTCCCCTGAAATAATTGCCTTGCAAGACACTGCTGATTCTCTTCAAGATCCCACCCCCTGACTACCATCCCTCTTTGCTTTTAGAACTGTAACTAGACTCAAGTCCCAGCAGGCCCTGAATGATGAGGTGCATCGTGTAACCCATGAAGTGTGATACACTCCAGAAGAACTACATGCTTTTTCCAATTTATACAGACAAAAATCCAGGGAATATGTGTGGAAATGGATGATAAGGATGTGGGATAATGGTAGAAGGAATATAAAGTTGGATCAGGCTGAATTTATTGATATGGGCTTACTAAGCAGAGATTACGAATTTAACGTAGCAGCCTAAAAGGTTAGAAAGGGCTCTAACAGTTTGGTTTCTTAAAACACGGACCAAAAGGTGGCCTATGATAAATTAAGTTGAAATGCCAGAACTGCCTTGGTATATGGTAAAAGGATCCAAAGGCTTAGGGAAATTGAAATGTTAGAGTGTATTTGTCATGTAGGACCTGCTCACTTACCCCTGGAAGATCCAGTGTTTACACCTTACAACATGACGATGAGAAATAAATTTGTGAGGGGATCCCCAGCATCCTTGAAGAGCTTTGTGATCAATGTTTTGTACAGGTCAGAAATTATAGTGGGAACTGCTGCCACTGAATTGGGATACCTAAATGCAATGGGGATAATTGACTCTCAGGGTGGCAGGGGCCAAGTGTGGGCACTTAATCACCAAAGGCAAGGTGGTTTTGGTTATCATAAGGACAGCAGAGCCAAAGCAGCAATTGGGACAGTCTTATAGGCAGAGACCTATAGTACTGGCTGGCTGATCATAGTGTTCCTAGAAGTGAAAGAGATGGACAGTCTACTGAATTTTCACTTGGTCTATATAAGTGGAAGACTTCTAGGTCAAGTGAACTAAAGTCTAACTTGAATCACAAAAACAGAGTCACGGTCAATCAATCAATTTCCATACTTGAGCCAGGATACAGACCCAGATCCTCCTGAATGAAGGGGAGGCTGTGTCCTCTTGAGGAAGGACCTTGCTATGCTGCCAAAAATTTGTACCATTAATCTTTCTCCCAATCCTCTCCAAAGGGATCTACAGCCTTTTACCAAGGTGACTTTACACTGGGGAAAGGAAATAATCAGCCTTTCTGGGATTACTGGACACTGGCTCTGAACTGACACTAATTCAAGGAAACTCCAAATGTCACTGTGGTCCACCAGTTAGAGTAGGGGTTTAGGGAGGTCAGGTGATCAATGGAGGTTTAGCTCAGGTTTGTCATATAGTGGGTCCCCAAACTAATTCTGTGGTTATTTTCCCAGTACTGGAATTCATAAGTGGAACAGACATACTCAGCAGTTGGCAGAACCCGTACACTGGTTCTTTGACCCATGGTATGAGGGCTATTATGGTGAGAAAGACCAACTGGAAGCCACACTAGAACTGCCTCTACCTAGAAAAATAGTAAACCAAAAGCAATACTGCATTCCCAGAGGGATTATAAAGATTAGCACCATCACCAAGGACTTGAAGGTGATTCCTGCCACATCTCCATTCAACTCACTTGTTTGGCTCATGCAGAAAACAGACCTTGGAGAATGACAATAGATTACTATATGCTTAATCAGGTGGTGACTCCAATTGCATTTGCTATGCCAGAGGCAGTTTCATTACTTGATTGATTCAACACATCCTCTGGTATCTGGGATGCAGCTACAGTCATGCACTGCATAGTGATGTTTCGGTCAACAATGGAACACATATACAACAGTGGTCCCATAAGATTAGTATCATATACCCTAGGTGTGTAGTAGGCTATACCATCCAGGTTTGTGTAAGTACACACTATGATGTTTGTACAATGGCAAAATGGCCTAATAATGCATTTTTTAGACCCTATCCCCCTCATTAAGTAACACATGACTGTGTTAATATGGGAAATGCTTTTTCTCTCCATACCTGTTAGTAAATACCATCAGGAGCAGTTAGATTCCAGCAGACAAGGCCAGCAATACACCTTCACTGTCTTACATCACGGGTATAACAACTCTCCAGCCCAATGTCATAATTTAGTTCGTGAGGACCTGTGGCACATCACACTGGTGATATTATGCTGCTTGGACCTGGTGAGCAAGTAACAGCAACCAGTCCAGGCTTATTGGTAAGGCACTTACGTGACAAACAGTAAGAAATAAATATGACAACAATTCAGGGGCTTCTACCTCAGCTAAATTTCTGGGGTCCAGTTGTGTGGGGCATGTCGTGATATATCTTCTAACGCAAAGCCTAAGTTGTTGCATGTGGCCCCTCCTACACCAAAATAGAAGCACAATGCCTAGTGGACCTTTTTGGTTTTTGGAGGCAACGTATTCTTCATTTGGGTACGCTACCGCAACTCATTTACTGGGTGACCCCAGACGCTGCTTGTTTTGAATGGGGCCTCGAACAAGAGAAGGCTCTGCAACAGGTCTAGACTGCTGTGCAAGCTGCTCTGCCCCTTGTGTCATATGATCCAGCAGATCTAACGGTGCTTGAAGTGGCATTGGCAGGTCAATCACCGTGTAGACCCTAAAGGATTGTGGAGCAAAGCCCTGCCATGCTGTGGATAACTACTCTCCTTTTGAGAAACAGCTTTTGGCCTGCTACTGGGTCCTACTAGAGACTGGAGGCTTACTGCACGCCGCAGAGTTGCCATGAGACCTGAGCTGTCCCTTTGAACTGGATGTTGTTTGACCCATCAAGCAATAAAGTTGGACATGCATAGCAGCACCCCGTCATCAAATGCAAGTGGTATATATGAGATTGGACTAAGCAGGCCTTGTAGGCACAAGTAAGTTACATGAAGAAGTGACTCAAGTGTCCATCACCCCTACTTCTTTATCCCCCTCTCTCCCAGCCTGCACCTATGGCCTCATGGGGAGTTTCCCTATGACGAGTTCAGGAATGAAGGTTTGAGTCACCTCGCCAGGTAAAGAATCATGACCAGCTGAGGTGCTTGCTGAGGGAAAACATAATATGGAGTGGGTAGTAGGAGAAGGCATTATAAATGACCTATGACCAGTTACAGAAACAAGAACTGTCACCGTTATGAGTACTTGCTTCTTACTCTGTTATGAATATGATTGTGTGTGTGTGTGTATGACAAATATCTTTGTTTTCTTCTCTTTTATTCCCTCATATAACATAAGATGCATTGATTTTACATCACGGTATTTAAGTTACTGGATATTAAGAAGAGTGAACATCTCTCAGGGACTTTCCATCATCTTCTGGGGAAAGAGTCTGTGTTTTCAGTTGTATGTAGGATGGTTGTATCATGTTAGGTGGAATTATGACTTTATTATTGTATTTATTTAGACATTAAGTATGATTGAAGGAGAGGTGCATGGTTCCAAGTTGATGAGGGGTGGCCTGTTGTGGTTAATTTTATTTGTCAAATCGGCTAGGCTACAGGACCCAATTGTTTGGTCACGTCAGTCTAGATGTTGCTGCAAAGGTATTTGCTATATGTAGTTAACATTTAAATTGGTAGGTTCTGAGTAAAGCAGATTATGCTTATTAATGTGGGTGGGCCTTATCCAATCAGTTGAAGGCCTTAAAAGAAAAGACTGAGATCTCCCAAGGAAGAAGGAATACTGCCTTTGGAATCAAGACTGTAACATCAACTCTTCCCTGGGTCTCTGGCCTGCCAGCCTGTCTGCAGATTTCAGACTTGCCAGCCTCCACAACTGTGTGAGTCAGTTTCTTAAAATAAATCCCTCCATATGTACATCCTATTAGTTCCATTTTCTAAAGAACCTAATACATATGGTATATAGTTTGATAAATTCCTGCAAACAACATTTCTGTGAAATCAGCTTCTAGCAAGCCAGAAGTCCACCCTTCCCATATCCAATTCTAGTCATCCTCACAACCCTGCCTGACTGACCACGACCCTAACTTCTGAGAGTGAATACCAATTTGCTAGTTTTTATACATTATACTATATAAATGTGGGGCTATCTTGTATCTGGCATCTTTTGTTCCTTACTATATTTAGTGAGATTCATCAGTACTGCATGTAGTTATAGCTCTTTCTCATTTAGTATAATATTTCATTGTCTGAATATATCCATTTTTTAAATTCATCCTACTGTTAATGGATATTTAGGTAGTTTTAATATTTTGGTTAATACTAATTGTGTTGCCATGAAAATTCAGAATATGCCTTTTGCCAGGAAAAATGACTGCATTTCTTTGGTGAACAAATAAATATATACTTAGCAGTAAATTGCTAGATAAGATATACGTGTGTTCATCCGTACTAACTACAGCAAAAGAAAGAGAAAAAAGATTTTGCTAATTTATATTCCCATCAACTTGCATAAGAATTCTACTCGGATAGAAGAGACCTCAGCGTGATGGTGGAGTGAGTTGTTCCCTTTGTCTCTCCCAAGTTACAACTACTAGGACATCCATTACCAAGAAAGGACAGCCCGCACAGCTCACCAGAACACTGGAGACATCCATACATCTCTATATCTGAAGGTGGGTGAGTTGTGATGCGGATGAAGGCTGCCCCAGGGAGAGAAGCCCAAGACGTCCTGCCCTACGTACCCCGATCTATATCATCCTCTGGGAAGTATAGGACGTCCTGACATGATTCAACCTGATTTGTATCTAAAGTTAGATGACCACCCGATAACCAGACCCCACCTGCACTGATACCATTTTAACAACTTTCTTGTACATGATCTTTCCTTTGTCTGGTAAAAGAAATGACTAACATACCTATGCCTTATACCCTCAAACCATTGCAGCTCTTCACTCCCCATGGGTCCTGTCCCCATGCTATTCTCTGAATAAAAGAGCACTACTATCAGACCTTGAGAGTTGAAGAAATCTTCCTTTCAACTCCTCTGCTAGCTGAGCCTGCATCAATTTGGACCTCCCGGAGGCAGTGGAACTACAGGGCACCGTCAACCCCCTCCCCTGGTGGAACAGTGACTCCAGCACTGGTCCTTTTAGCAGGGGGTGCTGCATCCAAAACAAACACCCCTGGCAGTGGCAGCGGTGCCTTGATTTGAGGTTTCAAAAAGCATACAGACAGGGAGACCAGAGGCTACAGGGGCAGCAATGGCATTCGGGGCTCAGCCCCTACCCCACCCCCAGCAGCGGTGGGGAGGGAGGGAGGAAGGGAAGGAAGGAAGGAGATTAAATCAGCAGCATCGTTTGAAATAAAGGATAGAAGTGAGCGAGTGTAGTTTCCTGACGCCCCTCTCATTCCTTGCTGGGGAACACCCAAAGTTAAAGTACTGATACAGTCTGCTAAGAGTGAGGTGTCAGCTAGATGAGAGCCAGCTCTTTGTTTTAAAAAGAATAATAAGACGGAAGTAAGGCAATCTATTTTGAGTACTTACTCAATAAGTTGTGATCAGATTATAGGACCTAGAGAAATATACAATGTTCTATCCATCAGTGTTCTCATCAACAATTATTACATGTGTTCTTCTTATTCCAGAAAGTGTGGCGAGAATCAATGAAGACACTGCATGTGAAAGCACAGCATAAATTGTATTATTTTTCCAGGTAAATTTATGTGGCTGATAATACTTCAGATTTCACAACTGGAATATTAATGAAAATATTACACAAGAAAATAAAGAATAGATTGTTCTTCCCATGTGTTCATCATATGAAATATGCCTGAAATAATCCATGTAGTATGATACGATTTACCCCCATACAATCCTAATTTGAAGTAGAAGTAATACGTATATATTTAAATTTAAGAAAAGTAACTATAAAAACACTCGTAACACAAAAGTTTTTATGTGGCCGTACTTCCCGGGTTCAGGGAGCTTGTCTCAAACATAGTGATTTCCCAAGAATAGGAGTCCAGTGAATGTTTGTTAAAATAGTAAAGATTTTTTTTTGTATATATTCACCTTAAAATATATATAATAAAGTGAAAACCAAATTAGGTGTTAGGGTGTTTTTTTTTTCTTTCTGAAGTTTCTCAGGAAACCATGAGGGTATTTGGAAAAGCTCCACTGCTTTGGGAAGTCTGACATTGCGTAACTGTGGTTTACATGCCTTTCTGAACACAATTCACTTTGGGGGGGGGGGGTACATTTAGAAGCACCTCTTCTTAAAGGCCACTGGAGTTGGTTGCACCTTCATCTACTGGTTCTAGACGACACCATTTAATACTTCTACTGGTCTCACCCTTCATGTGGCTTCAGCCTTTCAGTTGTGTCTTTGGAGCTCTTTCTGTTTCTTTCTTTCTTTGCCTTTTTTTAAACTCTTTTCCATTTTGTTTTAACATGGAATTCTTTGGCATCACAAATGTCAAGAATGAAAACCATGGATTTACCCTTGAGGCTAAACTTTCCCCTGAACCTCTCCCACTTTTTTCATTTTTTTTTTAAACATCACCAGTTGCATTCACCCTTATTTGAATAGAAATTTCTTACCCCCTGCACAGCCACTGGCAATGACTGCCTCTGTCTACCTCATTTTGAGACTCAAATTCATTTCAAATTAGTTCCTTGAAAAAAAATATAGCATTCTCATGCTGGGAAAGCTGATGGGATTCAAGATACTGATTTAAATATTGCCTATCAGATTGTATTTCTCGGCTTCTATTCTAGAGAAATTTATGTGCACTGGGTGAGTGAGCAAAGGCTGCAATAAGAAAAGTCAGAAGGATGCTATACTCTCCCAGAGATGGAGTGATGATTCTGGGTTTCCTCCTCTCTCAGAACTGGAGCTGCAGGCAGAGGCATCAACATGCTGCAGGCAAAACACTCTGAAATTGCCTTACTTCTGCCCAGTCTTTCTAATTCTACTTTCTTAAGTATTAATTAGCAAATGAACCAATCCAAAACCACTTAAATGTTGGCTATTTACACACTCATTCCCATTTTTTGAAGAAAAGGGTTAGGGTAAATTACTTAAAAAAAAAGTGCAGTGGTGCCAATGTACTTGGTAATTTAATTTATATTTAATAAGAAAAAGAAAAGAAAAACTAATTGTCTTTATATTCCCCCTCCCTACACGCACTCCATGCTTCCTGCTTTCTCCTGACTTTGTATGGGGTTATTAAAAGGGAAAGAATTTTCATGGAAAAGCTATTGCTATAATGTGCTGATTGTTACATTAATTCCCCCCACCTACCCCCCCACCCCAAGCTCTATTGCTTGGCAGGAATTTTGGACTTTACTCAGGAACTGCTTAGTGAGCTTGTCGGTGGATAGGATTAGTTTAATCTCCTCTCACAAACCTCTAAGCACTGGGAAGGATGGGGTGGAGGAGGAGCAGTGGTGAAACAGGGAGGGCAGGGAAAGAAAGGTTGCTGGTGCCCAATGCCAAGGTTATTTCGTCTTAGAACTAAATCTGAATAGTGAGGAGAAGGGAGGAGAGGGGAGAAGACGGCAGTGATGGTGAATAAGAATGTTAGACGGGGGTAGTGGTGGTGATCTCTTCGTGATTTCATTGTGCTTGGAGTGCTTCCAAGCCCCAGGGGCAGCTCACAGATCAGAGGGAAAGAGAGCAGGGGAAGAGTAGAATGATGATTAGAGTTCACAAATTTTAAAGAATACTGAGAGAGGGAAAAACAGAAAAAGGGGGGAGACTTGAGATTTAATTCACTTATTTTGGTGGACCATATCCATTATGAGGATGGCCTTGGCGGGGAGTAAGATTTTAACAGAGTTTCTAACTTCTTCTTCCCCCTTGATCAAGATTAAATAAATCAGACTAGATGAGTTTTATTACACAAAGTCTGTATAATGTTTTATGAACTCTACTGTATGACAAATAAAAATGGCAAGCAATAGGATATATTGGAGAATATGAGGAAGCCATTTGGTATAAACCTAATTCTGCCTGACCTTGTCTTTCCAAAAGGGCCTTACCTTGGCTGTTGAGCATGCATTGTGTATCTGCTTTAGATAGTCCCTATGGCAAGAACAAAGGCCCTTGAGATAAAGGTGCAACTTCCCTCCCCCTCCCAATTTTGGTGTCTCCTTAAGGATTAAGCATCTTTCCTTAGGCTAGAAACTGATTGCTGCGCTCACCTGTGACCACCCAGCTCGAGACAATAGACTTGCCTCCTGCTATGCCCACCAAGATAGCAGACCCACTACCTGCTGTGTCCATCAAGTGCTGTGCTGACAGGGCAATCTTGTGACTATTGTGGGAGGGACATTTCAATCATATTTACCTGTTTGGGGGTGTATAACCACTCTGTGCACCCCACTTCTTCGGTGCCCTTTCTTCCTTCGGGAAGAAAGGCCCCGGGCCATGGTCCTCAGATTTCAGCTCAGAATAAACTCACCCAAATTTTCATTTATAGATTGGTTATGGATTATTTTCATCAACAATGGTATAGCCTGCGACACACCTAGGCTCCATGGTACTAATCTTAAGGGACCATTATCCATTGTTGACAGAAATAATGTTATGTGGTATGTGACTGTACATTTACACTTTGCTTATGTGTTAAATTTGTAAAGATTTAGATCTAAATTTGTAAACTGAGATGTATTTTGCAGACTTTTCTTGCATATTTCTGGTTTCTTCATTAATAATAAATCAGCCTATTAGAAAATTTTAATTCCTGTGTTTGAGACCCAGTTAATGTCCATAAAAGGGACGAACAATTAGAATACTAAGAATGCTTTTGTGTACACTGTTCTTAAAGCTAGATGTTTTTGCTTTTTGAGGATTTTCTCCTTGATCACAGACAATTCAATGAACTAGTTGCCAAACTGATTGGTTTTTTTTGAGGAAGATTAGCCCTGAGCTAACTACTGCCAATCCTCCTCTTTTTGCTGAGGAAGACTGGCCCTGAGCTAATATCCATAACCATCTTCCTCTACTTTATACGTGGGACGCCTACTACAGCATGGCTTTTGCCCAGTGGTGCCATGTCCACACCTGGGATCCGGACTGTCAAACCCTGGGCTGCTGAGAAGTGGAACATGCAAACTTAACCACTGCACCACAGGGCCACCCCAACCAAATCTGACTTTTTTCTTCACATGTATTTTAAGAGATTTGTCAATTATACTAGCTTTTCCTAAGAAATCACTCTTGACTTGTTCACCTTTCTAATTGTAGATTAGTTCTCTAATTCATTACTTTCTCTTCTTGCCTTCATTATTTTGGGGTTTGTTCTATTATTCTTTTTTCAGTCTACTTATCTTGAATGCATAGCTCATTAATATTTAGCCTTTCTTTTTTCCCAATCTAATTATTTAAGACTTTACATTTCTCCTTCAGATGACTTTAATTGTTTCACAAGGTTTATTACAGTCTTTTAATTATCATTCAGTTCTAAGCAGTCTTTAATCTTAATGATGTATTAATTGATCCATTAGTTACTTAAAACATTTTTTTTAAAGTTCCAAATGCAATTTTTTTGGTTGATGAATTTGTCTTCAATGTTTTATATTTCTAATTTAATTTCGAAGAATGTAATCTCTGTGATATTTTTACAACAAAGCAAGAATGAAACTTGCTTTATGGTCTAACAGGTCATCCATTTTTATGACTGTTCTATGTTTGTTTTAAATTAATGTTCATTCAGCAATTGTTCAGTAAAAGAGAATATATATGAATAATAGATCATCTATTAATTGCTCTTCTAATCTTTAATATTCTTAATGCTTTCTTTAATCTGCATAACCTGTCAATTTCTGTGAGATGTGTGTTAAAATCTGCATTATCTCCCCTTGCTCATTCAACCAAACTGGCTCCTTTGCATTTCTTAAACACTCCAAACATGTTCAAAAGTCAGGGTCTTTGTTTCTAAAGTACCTTGGAGTACTTTTATCTTTATACTTTATATAGCTTGGTCCCTCACTTCCTCAGTTTCCTTAACCTGTTTTGTAAGAACCATTGTGGTACAAGGAGTCAAGTGCAGGTCTCTGAAACTGGCTCCCCTAACCCTTTGTCTCTAGCCAAGATAGTGAAACAGAGGCAATCTATCCTCAAAATAATTGAAGAGATTAGTTCCACAAACAAAGACTTAAGGACGCAGGTGTAGTATTCATTATTTCCTATCCAATTTACCTGTTTGGCTCCTATAGAAACAAGATAGATTGTGGAAGATTATGGTGGACTACCATAAATTTAAACAGCTGACAGTCTCAAATGCAGCTGCTCGAGTAGAGGTGGTGTCTTCACTGAAACAGATCTACAAAATATCTGGCATTTTGTATATGACTGTTGGTCTGCGGAATGCATTATTCTCAATCCCCATCTGTAAAGAAGCTCAAATACAGTTCATGTTTACGTGGGAGTAAAGGCATATACATTCACCATCTTGCCTAATGGTTATGTTAATTCCTGTTCTTTGTCACACCATAGTCTGCAGAGATTTAGGTCATTTTGGCTTTCTACAGAATATCATGCTGTACAGCTACATTAATGATGTTTTAATCAGACTTTGCAAGGGGTCGGCCTGGTGGCACAGCGGTTAAGTTTGCGCGTTCTGCTTCTCAGTGGCCCAGGGTTCACCGGTTCGGATCCCGGGTGTGG